GAAGACTTGGACCCTTCGGGACCGCCGCCGCCGCCGTATACCCTCTTTGAACAGACACCACCTCCAGTACCGAGCATACGGCCTGCAGTAACCATGCCAGTACAGACGGGCCCGACTTACAACCCTGCCATGTACCATGACCAAGGGAATTACTCGCCGTCATACTCGAGTCGACCTCCTTCACGGCCCGGCTCCCGGGGCAATGGGAATAATTACGGCCAATATCAAGATCCAATGACGGAAACATCTCAAGGTCTACACCCACCCAATCGTCTCCGGGTGATGACCAGCATGCCGAACCTTTCCTCCCGCTACGACAACTCTCCAGTCTCTTCCGTTTCCTCACGTCCGACAAGCCCAAACAGAGCGGCATTCACCCCTAGTCCAGCAACAGCAGTAACCGAAAGTCACCGGGGCTGGCCAGAACGACCAACAACACCAATCTACAACCTCCCACCGCCTCCCCCACCACCATCCTGTCCTCTTCCTCCCCCTCCGAGACCAGGCCCACGTCCTCTGCAGCCAACTTCTGCAAACCCAACCTCATCGACCAGCGGCACAACCCCCAAATCCCTCCTAAACTCAGCCCTCCACTTCGCAGGCGGGCTAATCCCGCACCCCCAAGAATCAACCAAACACCACACAATCCTGCGCCACTCACCAGCGCTAATCTTTTACCGCGGCCCGAAAACCTCCCTCGCCATCACAATCTTTTCATCCCCATCTCATCCCCTCCCCCCCGATCGGACGCTCTGGCTCCAGCAACGCGGGTTCTCAGGCGACACGGGTCTAAAGCTCAAGTCGTTAGTAGGGGCGACCTCATCCTGGATGGACGTCACCCCAAGCACACAAGTCAAAGTCTCTGACCTCGAGCCTGAGACCTCAAGAGCATGGGAACGTGACATATCCAAGGCGAGCCGTAAACTCTCGCGAGAGATGGGACCGAAAGCGCATGTGCCTAGACAGACGCATGTTGTACGGATCCCTGAGGCTGCGGAGGATGGATATTTCAGATTGGTCCTTTGTGTTGGGGGCTTGGCTTCTGGGTCAAAGAGAAAGACGTTGTGTCAGAGTCCGGTTTTTAGGGTTGCGTCTACCAGCTCGGATAGCAGTGTGCTTAAGGGGGCGAGTTTGAGTACTATGCCGATTGAGATGGGTGTCAAGGTTGCCAGTTTCATGGCGAGTAATGTTGTGCAGAGGTATGCCGCGCCGGTTGTTGCTGTTGCTGATCGGGTTCGGCCGGGCATGATCAAGGAGGAGGTTGGGAAGCGGGCTTTTAAGACTGTGGGCAAGCAGGTGAGGAACATGAATGGGCCGGGGAGTGAGCGCGATGGGACGTTTTATGGGTTTGATACCGCTGGACCTGGGGGTGATGTTATGGGGATGGGGACGATGGGGACTATGGGCATGGGGGGGATGGTTGTTGGTGGTGAGGAAGGACCGGAACAGCCGTTTCCTATCAAGTTTCAGGGACGAGTTGGGACGGGGACGGGCAGAGGACGGATGGAATTGGGAATGCCGACTACGAATCTGGTTGATGTACCGGGCGATATCAAGGTCAACCTGCGAGGTGTCTACTTTGGTTGGGCGTGTGTGCTTCCCGGTCGCGGGGTCGATCCAGCGATTATCGCGGAGAATTGTTGGTATGAAGCGGTTATCATGGCGACGAAATCTGCTTATGCGAGCGTCATTGCTGAGACGGATATCAAGGTGTATCTGGCGCACGAGTTTGGGGATGGGGTCAGATTCACGGACGCCAAGATGAAGGTTATTGTCATGGGGTTTATACGGCCTGAGGTGCAGCCTGCGCAGGGGACTGTGGCGTCGGTGCAGGACCGCCTGGAGATGGCCTCGCAGGACGTCATGGTTACTATGGCTAGTTTGGGCAGGGAGAACTGGGGACCTGATATGACGCTTGATCGGCTGAAGACGGCCAAGAGCTCGAGGAGTTTGGGGGACAAGTTTAATGATGCTAGGACTAAGGTGCAGAGGACGGTTGAGAAGGTGCCTGTGCATGGGGTGGGGATTCGGACTTTTGGCGGGGAGGAGAGGGATCGGATTCATGGCACGGGGGGGTATTGGGTTGCGAGATGATTAGGTGGCTGACGTGGAGAGGGGACCCAAGAGCTTGGGATATTATATTTAATGGTAATTACTGTACACAATAATTCGTGTTTGGAAGGTTTAAGAATATAGTAGAATCGTTTATATTGGTCGGAGGTCATAATGGTTGGAGCGGGTGGTGATGGTCAATTTGAGGCTCTTGTCAATTGTCTTGACTGAACCCGGTTTGGGCATTCTGGTCTCAACGTGATCTTGGTCCTGGTGTGTGCCGTAATATCCTCATAGAGTACATACCACAGGGCATGGCATCTATACACGAGACCATGCCCAGCGTCGTCGTCATCCCGCATTATCGCGTAGACGCCGACAGCCCTGAGGATATTTCGTTTGTGATTCACCAAGTCGACGACCCGGTTTTCCATCAGGATTTTCATCGACAATAAAATTTCCGACGGATGTACAAGCCGAAGAACGACAAAAAGCGAGACCGACCGGATCTAGAACCAAGGCGGAAACGACGGAGGTAAGCGCCCCGGTACCCGGTTTGCAGGGCAAGGGGTGACCATTTTCCCGGACGCCGCCCTTCCGTCATTGCCGAATCTAAATTGGCCCAGCCCACCGTGCGGTAACGGTCCCGCTGCACCCCAGCTCGACCAGACCCAGCATGATGCACATCCCACCAATCGACCTGCCACCGTTGACGCCGTTGCCCGGATCTCGAGCCTCGCAGAACCTGGGGGGTGGTATCGCTGTGGGGACCGCTTCACTTGGACGCGGGAGTGACAACAGGGAAGGTGGGAATGCGGCGGCACAAAGAACGCCCGCTTTCGAAATTGTCCAGGAGGAAGGGTGGAGATGTTTTGGTCATGGGAACTTGGGAATAAATCAAGTTCTTGAGTGATGACTGACGAGTCTTTAATCGCTCCGATTCGGATGGGATACCGAGAAGGCGGTCGAGCAAGGGCATATCCAGCACACACACATCACAGAGGTCCACATCACTCACATCATTGCCGGCGCAGAAACCCGGTGGCCCAAATCAGCGTGACAGATCGACGACTGGGTCAACCACCATGCCCATTGATCTGGACCGACCTTCCAAGGCAAGGTTGGATCCATGTGTCCGTTCTCAACATGGCACCCAAGAAAGACGCCTATATAGCCCTCGTCAACCGCCCGTTGCACCTGACCATCTCTTCCTCTCCTGTCTCGACGGTGCAGCCAAGTTGAAGTCACATCTCAGCCACAAACTCAACAACGATGAAGTCCTCCGCCATCGCAGCCCTTGTGGCGCTGGCCAGCAACGTCGCTGCCCACGCCACCTTCCAGGCCCTCTGGGTCGACGGCGTCGACTACAACGACCAGTGCGCCCGTGTCCCGCCTTCCAACTCGCCCGTCACCAACGTCGGCTCCAATGATGTCCGTTGCAATGCCGGCACCAGCCCCATCGCCGGCAAGTGCCCCGTTCGCGCCGGAGGCAAGGTCACTGTCGAGATGCACCAGGTTTGACACCTTCCCTTTCCATCCCAGACCTCAACTAACTCCACATTAGCAACGTGACCGCAGCTGCTCGCAAGAAGGCATCGGAGGAGCTCACTACGGCCCCCTGATGGTCTACATGTCCAAGGTATCCGACGCCTCCCGCGCAGACGGCTCCTCGGGCTGGTTCAAGATCTTCCAAGACACCTGGGCCAAGAACCCGGCCGGCCGCGTCGGCGACGATGACTTCTGGGGCGTCAAGGACATGAACAAGTGCTGCGGTCGCATGGAGGTCCCTATCCCCGCCGACATTGCGCCAGGCGACTACCTCCTCCGCGCCGAGGTCATTGCCCTCCATGCGTCTGGCTCGTCCGGCGGTGCTCAGCTGTACATGACCTGCTACCAGATCACTGTTAGCGGAAGCGGAAGCGCCAGCCCGCCTACCGTCAGCTTCCCTGGTGCGTACAAGGCTAGCGACCCTGGTATTCTGGTTAATATCCATGGTACCATGTCGACTTATGTTGCTCCTGGCCCGACTGTGTATGCTGGTGGTGCTACCAAGTCTGCTGGCAGTGGATGCGAGGGCTGTGCTGCTACTTGCACTGTTGGCTCTGGTCCTGTTGGTACCGCTACTTCTGCTCCTCTTCCTACCTCCCCCGGCGGTGGTGGTGGTGGCGGCGGCGGCGGATGCTCCGTTCAAAAGTACGGCCAGTGCGGTGGCCAGGGTTATACTGGTTGCACTGTTTGCGCTGTAAGTTGATGTCCTCCTGATTTGATGATGTTCGCGATCATATGCTGACGATGAATTTAGTCTGGCTCTACCTGCCAAGCTGTTTCACCTCCTTGGTACTCCCAGTGCGCTTAAAGCGGTCATGGTAGGACGGGAAAGAGCTCGCCATGCCATCGGAAATTCGATGCCATCACTGAAATGGATGGTCTCCATCACCGGCAACTGAGCTTCTCTGGAAGCGGAGACAGACTTGACGGGGACGAGAAGATGAAGTAACTTTCATGTTTGAGCGATTAAGATTCTTTGTACATAGTTATAGCATAGCAAACGTCGATTCTTTTCGTGTTTTGTGATCTTAGTTGGTGGTCGCGACGAAAGCTGGACTGCGATGGGTCGATGGTTCCGACCGGTTCAATACACTTTGAGACCTTTGCCCACGGTGTATGAAAGAAAAAGAAAGCAAGAAGAAAAGAAAGAGAAAATGGCCTAGGTAGACCCGGTTTACCTTATTTCTGTTGCCATTGAGGATGTCGGGAGAAAATGCGGAGGGCCGGGAAATCGGAAATACGATTGGTCATCGGGCTTGGTGTGTTGTTAGTGCAGGACCTTAGTTGGCACAGAGTTCCGCCTAAATTCAGGGTAGCCGCCTATCAGACCCACCATACCGCTTTTGTGGCTGCACGAGAGGTCATACATAGGGCAGGATTCTGAGAGCCTAAAATACAGCGGCTTTGTGGTCTAGTGGTATGATTCGCGCTTCGGGTGATAGCAATATCCCATCACACGTCAACGTGTGACAAGATTGTGCGAGGTCTCGGGTTCGATCCCCGACAAAGCCCGTTGTTTTCCTTTTTTTATCATTTTTGTTCCCATATCTTGTAACTTTCCTTACAATCTGCACGGTTTTATTTGAAGGACGACAACAGTCAACCCAAATATTTTCCCATCTAGATTCCGATACGATCATTTCTATGAGTCCAAGTCCAACAACCGAGTGGGAAGGTCCAACGAGGATTGTAGCAGCGCCTGACCGGTGTGGGCAGCCCTGAGCACCTTCCGTATTACTGACAACTGCGTGCAGTTCTTTCCCTGGCTAGGTCCCCACCATGATGATGACGAACCCCTTTTCTTGCCCAGTGAGATCAGCTTCCCACAATCTGGTGATTAAAGAGCGCTTAACCGAAGACGACAGACACCATGCACTCATTGCACTGCTGCGACAGGTGGCACACCGGTGACCGGCCCTTCGACATTTCCGTCTATTTTCTTCTCAATCTCTTTACGTTCTTCCTGATGAAGATCGGGCTGAAACCAACAACAGTCCAATGCCTCAGGTCTGGCTGTCCTACTTCGACATGAACGGATACAACTGCTCGTCCACTCTCAATTCAGGGCCTTGAGCTCACGAAACTCGACTTACTGTCTCGGAGCAATCGATCCTGAAGTGCCACGATCTCAGTCTTAAACACCGTTACACCATTGACAGTCCAGCTCACACCTCGGGCCGAAACCTTGCAGCCAACCTCAGCACGGTGCGTCGTGTCATTCATCACCATAGCGCCCAAGTTTGCCTGAAACTTGCACTGTTTTTGTTGCTGGCAGCTGAAAGTTATGATTATGTAAGGAAATGAAGTGTTTCGCAGACCGAGGTTCTCCGAGGAGGATGCAGAGCCGCTGGCTGCTGCTGCGGCTGAGCAAGCGGAGGTGGTACTGCAGAAGGAGGGAGCTGATCACCGGACGAAGTCTTCCGCAGCTGCTCAGCATAAAGCAACGGAAACACCTCAGTGCATCGATCTTCGCTCTTTATCCGTCTCGCAATCAACTCTCTTCTCTGAACCACACACTATCTTTATCTTAGCCATGAACTCGGAAATCCCAATCCCTCATCATCAACGAACGTTCAAGTTGGAGAACGGCCGTGAGGTCAGTGTTTCCGAGTCAGTTCTGCGAAATGAGGTCCATCAGGTCAACCACAGCGATGTCTTCAGCCCGTCTGGGACACGATCGGTCGTTGTTGGAGAGCTCGTCAAGTTCTTAGAGCACTCACATCGTCCGTCTGTCCGATTTGAATGGCCTGCCCGGTTTGGAGACGACGAAAGTCTCTGCTCAATATGTTCCAGCATCACCCTGGACACAAGTGTACACAACGCATACAATTCGACCACCGGCCGTCTCGGCTTGTCTGTCGGCATTGTACTCGCAAAGGAGGTCTCACTAGGCACCCTGCGTAGCCTCAAGCGCCGGAGTGCGGAGTGTTCCTTGTGTCGCGTTGCGTTGTCAGTCATCTCGAAGGATCCATCCATCATGACAGACACCAAGGTACCGAGCAGTGAAGAATGTATCCTGCGTCCAGGACTGGGAGCTTTTCGCACCTACGTCGACTCCATCCCGGTGACCGATGTCTTCTACGGAAATCGACCCGGGAACAGTGTTCGTGGCCACATACAGTTCTCACGCTATCGACAGGTCCCATCAGATGTATGGAAAACAGAAGCCATGTCGGCAGTTGGAAATGCGTCATCACAACAGGCCGCCGCCCGACTCTGCGATACTCTCATCTCGCGGCAGAATTCTTCCGATCAGCAGATCGACTTCCGTCAGATCCGGGGCTGGCTGAAGAAATGCGAGGACGAGCATGGATCCACCTGCAGCCCTGATCGACACAAGTCATCTTTGACCAGGGACAACGCTATGTTTGTCGTCATAGACTTGGACGAGATGCGACTGGTGAAGCGGCGCCTCTCCTCGTTCTTTGACTATGTCACTCTATCCTACGTCTGGGGTGGCCGGAACTCCTCAGTCACCAACAACAGGAACTTTGAATCCCGTCTGCAAAAGAGAGGCCTGGTGTCGTCTTTTCCCGATCTCCCGGCTGCTGTGCGGGACGCATGCACCGTCGTCAGGGAGGTCGGGAGACGCTTCCTATGGGTAGACGCGCTCTGTATCAAACAAGACGATCCAGAGGACCAAGCGTCCCAAATCCCTCTGATGGACAGAATTTACAGCCAGTCCGTCCTTACCGTTGTAGCAATGTCGGGCGAGCACGCACAATGCGACCTGCCAGGCGTCAAGCCCGGTTCCACGCCAAACCCAATCCAGCGCACAGAGAGAACACCATCATGGATCTTCGCCGAACTACCACCCACGCTCGACAGAGTCCTGAAGCTTTCCAAATACGAGACACGGGCTTGGACCCTCCAAGAGCGTCTGCTTGCCAACCGACGGCTGTACTTGACCCGATGGCAGGCGTATTTCCAATGTTACCGCTACGTTTACCAGGAGACCTACCACCGGCCTCGCCAGATTGTCCAAGATGAACGACTGTTCCAATTTCAAGGACCTGGGGAGTTTTACTTTAACCTGAGTCATGCTCGACTGTCGCTTTCAACACAGTGGCATATTCCGAGTCTGAAAGTCGACGACGGGTCAAGCCTAATTCCATGGGATCAGAGATCGCTGATTATGTACGACAAGCTTGTCAACGAACTCTCGGCGCGAAATCTGTGGGACCCGAATGATATTCTCAAGGCGTTCCAGGGTCTCGTTTCGAACATGGAAGCCAGCCAGGCGGGTCCTTTTGTTGCTGGATTGCCACTTCGAGTGCTTGACCGGGCCTTGCTGTGGGCGCCGGTTCGGGGATTAGAGAAGCGCGAGCTTTCCAAGGACGCCAGGCCAATTCCCAGTTGGTCGTGGTGCGCCTGGGCAGGCCCTGGCGTCAAGCATCCTTGGGCGTCGTACGGCCTTCTGAACCACTTACTCGACTGTGACTTTCGGGCCCATGCTTCATATATCCAGGACTTTTTCTTGGAAGATAGTGGCGTTTTTCGGCGTGTTGACAGAAACGCCTACAATGCGACCGACAAGAGCCAGCCTCTAGCCGTTGGCCATCCGGAGGACTACGGGATGAGTCTTGTTCAGCCACACGGCGATGGTGGCCAGTTTCTCCATTTTGTCACGCAGGTGGTCTCGGCGGATGCTTTCAACGTCGGGTTCGGAAGCAAGCGAGGCCAAATCGGTTCTCAAGACGTCGAGGGAGACTGGGACCTCATGTACAGCCCTGGTGGCCGATACTTTGTCAAAGCAATTTCACCCGCAAACGAAGGCGTCGTGGCAACATGTGTTGAACTTGGCGAAAATGGCAATCAGAAAGGGCTCTCCAGCTTCGTATATACGAAGAAGAATGTGCCGGCCGAGAACGAGAAAGACCCGCTTCCTGCCACACGAATCTTCAACAAGGGAGAAGAATGTGGGATTGTATTGTCCGACGAGGAATCGATACGGCATTGCTTTGGTGGACCTCAGGCGGCCGCTCAGCGTCGCAAATACAACCTGGTTCTGCTATCTGCCAACTGTAAAGGGTTCGATGGCGTGCGGTGCGACCCTGTGGTCCGGGAGGGGCGGGGCGACAGGTTTATGCTCTACGCACAATTTGCTTGCCAGGGAGACTATTCTCTGTATAATGCGCTTTTGACGGAAGTCGTTAATGGCTATCAGGTGAGAGTTGCTTTGGTGCAGATCAAGGAGGATGCCTTCTTGGAAGCTGGGACCAGGACGGAATATGTCAGGCTTGGCTAGGGAATGCCCCCCGCCTTCCAGTTCGGCTCGAAAAGAAAGATTCAGCACAGAAACCCGTCTGACTGCAGCAAAGCGTTACACCCATGGCTGGAGATAATCTGGTTAAATCGGTACCATGCAGGAACTCCCGGATCCCCGCGGCCCCCAAGGCAGACTCGGTGGCCCTGTCGTTCAGTACCGTGACCAACGAAGGAATACAATTGGATGATAGCGAGCTGAAGGATTCCAAACCACCTTTTGGCTCTAGACCTCCATTGTATAGTATCGCGAGTACCGGGGCGTTCTTGTCACGGTGGCGAAGCAGCTGTGAAGTTACATTTTATATGGAGGTTGTGATAGCCGATATCGACCTTTTGTTACTTGTCAACCAAGCTTCCCTTGATGGATTGCATGCAAGGAATTATGAGTTTCTCTGCTTCCTCACGAGTCACGACGCGCCATCAGTTTGGGGCTCTCCAGAAGCAGCCGCATGCTCGCCCATGATGGACCGAGGTGCACGTCAAGATGAACGGGCTCGCTCAAGTCAAGACGACCGTTCTGATGCCATGGCGGGATCGCCCGTCAACTCGGAGAGCTCAAGCACCACCGGTCATGTCAACACTATCCCCGAGGTTAGCCTGTCGATCAATGCTGCACCTGGCCACGGTCCTATGCCCCCGAGTCCCGGAGTTTCAGCCATGACTGTTTCCGAATATGACATCGAGTTGGACCCTTACCACTCCCGCCTGTCCTGCGGGGAGCATGGAGTACTGACAAGCTCATCCCGACTCATGGTGAGAATCACTTGACAAGACGAATGTGGTGCAACTGGCCTCAAGTTGGACGCCTCCCATAACGACTCCTTTACGGCCAAATTACAAGCCAATCCCACTTCGATGGACGTACCAAGTACTTCTCTTGATTCTGATTGCCGGCTTCTTCGTCTTTCTGGAATACGAGACTCGGCTGCTTCCTGAGCCCAAATTCCATGCATTCATACCTCATCCTCTCTGAGCCTCGTCACAGTCCGGACAACAGATACAAGCTCGGACCTGGCCCAAAGGAAAATGTGCCGAAGAGACGCAATCTCCTGTTGGAGCACCTAAGCCAACCCGAAGTACGAACTGGGAAAGATCAGGCCCTATCACAGCAAGTCCAGCTCGCGCCATATATGCGCGAGATCCTGATCCTATTCCACCGGAAAGTGATTATCCCAAACCAGAGGACGGCGGAAGATACTGCTTTTGGTATCCTCCCCAATGGCGATTTCGGAACGACTACGTGC